GAAGAGAGAGAGAAAGAGAGAGAGAGAAACTAACTCTTGGGCATGGACAAAAGTCTGGTGATTGCCGCAGTGGAGGGGGTCGTGAAGGGAAGTGAAACAGGGTATAGTGGGATAAATGGTGATGGACAGAGACTTGACTTGGGGTGATGTACACACAATACAGTGTACAGATGATATGTTGTAGAATTGTGCACCTGAAACCTGTCTATTTTGTTTACCAATGTCACCCCAATAAAAAGGAAAAAACTTCCAATAAAGAACATTAGTTAAAAACTGAAAGCTGCTTACATCTTCCCACTGGCAATAATACAATCCCTTAAAATAGCACATTATGGCCTTTAAAATTTGGTTCTCACCTACCATTCCAACCTCACTTTATCACAGTCTCCCACTTGCCCTAACATAATCATGGGTCATGCACATACTTCCCATACTTCTACCTCTGGAATAAATAACTAGAGTTTTCAAAGTTGAAATCACTTTTCCTCCTTAAATTATAAACACAATTTCTAAAAGTTTGTAAAATCAAAGAAAAAAATTAGGCATAACATTGCCATTCTAACAAAACATATTTACTTCCCTCCTAATATTCTGCTATAAATATATTTGTACAGTAAACATAATTTTGAATAATATTCTAACATATTTTATTTAGTTATTTTCTTTCCCCTGTTGCAGAGAAGAAATATAAAAAAATTACACAAGATTATTTCGAGAAAAAGAAAAACTGAAAGAACAAAAAACAAGGGTGGGGACAAACTAGAGCTGTGAATAAGCTTTAAGATGCATACCATGATGGCCTACTCATCTACCATGAGTGAGCCACACATTTGGCTCTCAATTTTCTAGCAACCAATGTAAAAACAGAAACACTGTCATTTATCCAAGTCCCAGTGCCCTTGAGATTTTTTTTTTTTAGAAAGTCTCAGTAATTTTGACTCTTCTTGGAACACATATTGTAAAAAGATATTTCTGACATCCTCCTAAAGAGAATACAGGGTGATATGCTTAACTTTGGGGAGATTCTGTATTAGAGACAGTGCATTTCAATTCATGGCATTGCTCATACTGAAAACCAATACAGATGGATGCCATTGCATAAATTACAGTGATTTTGTAAAAACTAGCTTTTTGGAAATCATTTGACCTTATCAAGGCACCCCGCTCTTTGCAGGTCTGCTTTAAGTCACAGGTAAATCCTAATATATTGAAATAATCACATAGAATATATATTAGTCACAGTAATAGCTGGATTTTTATCCTTAAGAAAAACTTTATGAATATTGTTTCTCTTTAAGATTGAGTTTCAAATAATTCTTAGGTAAAATCTTAAAACTCCAGGTCCCATATTGAGCAGTTGAGGGTTGCTTGGAAGACCAGATTTTAGGTTGAAAAGTAAAAAAAAATCTCACTTTTTGATCATGAACATTGTTCCCTTTGGGAAAGTCCTCTGAGTACAAGAATGTGGCTGGACCAGGAATGTCTCCTCATAGTTCTGGGTTGCTCTAAAAGAAATATGTGTACCACAGCACTTAATCATCTTGATATGTAACCTGTATTGTGGACAGGAAGTCACTATAGGACAGAATGGTTTCCGGTAGGCAAAGGTGTCATAAAAGGGTGTGTTTTATGTCTCTATGTGTTTAATCTGTATGTAGAACAAATCGTATTAAAAACTGGGCTACACTCAGAGGAAGGAGGAGTGAAAATTGGTAAAATAAATAACAAGATATGCAGATGATACCATCATACTGGCAGTAAGTAGCAATAAATTGAAATGACTTCTGATGAAAGCCTAAGAAGAAACTGCCAGAGCAGAACTGCATTTGAACATCAAGACAAATATCATGACTACAGAAGAAATATACAACTTTTGCATAGATAATGGAAATATCAAAATTGTTAAGGATTTTGCTTACTTTGGTTCAGTCAATTCAAATGGAGGCTGCAGCCAACAAATGAAGAGAAGGCTGAGATTAGAAAGGGCAGCAGCAGAAGAATTGGAAGAGATCGAGAGCAAAGATGTGTCATTAGAGACCAAGGCTAAAACCATTCACGCCCTCCTATTCCCAAGTACTACGGATGCAGGCGGAAGTTGAACAGCAAGAAATCTGATAGGCAAAAAGTTGATTCATTTGAAATACAGTGTTGGAAAAGAGCTATATGGCTACCCTGGACCAACAGAAAGGTGAACAAGTAGGTCCTAGAGCACATTAAACTTGAAACCACCAGAGGCAAAAATGACAAAACTGAAGGTGTCCTACTTTAGGCACATCATGAGAAGGCAGGGTTCTTTGGAAAAGATAACAGTGCTGGGAAAAATAGAAGGTAGCAGGAAAAGAGACAAACCACATAGGAGATGGATAAACCCATAAAAGAAGCGAGAGGCATGAGTCTATAGGACCTGACCAGGGCTGCTGAGGACAGGACTCTGTGGACATCATGCAATCCTAGGGCGGCCAGGTGTCCGAGAGGACTCAACTGGCATGTAACACTGAAGAAGCTTGGCCAATAAACTCTGTTTTCACAGTCTCTAGAGTTTTTCATGTTTGATAAAACAGAAGCAGTTTTTCTAGCTTTGCTTTTATTAATATTTGTCGGGCTGTTGAGATGTGGACTCTTGTTCCTAATGAATTCTATCACTAACTAGGTGGCTGACCTTACGCAGGCTATTTAAAGTTTTTGAGCGCAGTTTTCCTCCTTTGTAAAATGAGGACATTGTAGTAGTTCATCACTTTCCTAGAACTCCTTCCACTTGTAAGTCACACTGACCCCTCTGCCCAACAGTGGACCTGGAATACTCCCAGGCAGTCACACATCTTAGGTAAGAGCATGCAGGGGCTTTGCAGAGCAAAAGTCCTAGTTCCACTCTGCAACTTCCTAGTATGTGGCTTGGGGCAAGTGTTCACCTGCATAAAGCTCAGTTTCCCTATCTGTAAAGTGAGATTAACACAAGCCCTTACAGAGTTGTTGTATTAAAGGAGACTAAATGCAGCTCTAAATACAGTGTCTGGCACACAACAAGTACTCCATCAAAATCATCTATTTTTAACATTGTTATTTCCTTGGGTCCACTGACATAATTGCTCTTCTAATAGCATTTCTCCAAATTGAATATCAGCACTATTATAACTACAGTATTTAAAGGTTTGAAGGTGCCAACTTGGGCTGACGTGTTTAGAAAAAGTTGGAAAGACATGGGCTCAGAGGATTTTTTAAAAAATAAACAAAACTACCTGTGTGCTGACCTTTACCCTGTAGTTCTTTTATTTAATAACAGTCTATTAATAAACATAACTTTAAGCTGTTTGATTTGTACTAATGTAATCTAGGCCAAACATGCTACCTGAAAGTAATAATAAACTTTCTCCAAAGAAATTATAATGGAAGTTTGCTTCACTTTTCTGCCTGCTTTGAAACAAGATTGTGGGGAAGTTCTTAGCATTGAGTTCCCATCAACAGATATTCAATCACTTTAACTTTTGATCATATGTAGGTTATATTTAAATACAAGTAAATGGGATAAAAATCATTCTTAGATGGGTGAGATAAGCTTTGAAGGCTGTATAAATACTGCATTTTATATTTTAAAAACAATTGCTTAACCAGAAAAGAAAAATTCCCCCAAATGTGGGAAACCAGAGTTCTTTGCTATGCTCTTAACTACAGCAGGAAATATGTGTTTGTTTATTATGACCCTAGTGCTTCCATAGCCAAATGAACTTTCAAACACTGCACTTTCATTCTGTATAACCAACAATTGTCACCCTGCCTTGTGGAAACTGATAATTCTAAGGGAGTTCAAGAATACTTGCATAATTACATCTACTAAGGCCAAGTGTGTTCCCACAGCGTGGAGATGGACCCTTTGTGAACAGGAACACTTATAACTAAAGGGCCCCCTACAGGATGGGTTAATTAGCCCATGGTAACTGGCTGAGTTAAAGGTGACTTTCGGGGACTATCAGATTTTATAGCAAAATAGATCTGAATTACCATTATATGTTTAAGACTGCCTCCTTCTTGATTCCAGGTTTCTCCTCACTCATGAGATGTGAACCTCAGCAAATTTACACCAGGTTGTAGAAGAGTGATCACTTCTATTGTTGCTAAAAAAAGTTCTCTGCAGGATAAAGGGTGAGTAATATGTTCTGTAGATACCTGCATGTTCAATATCCAAAATTTATCAAGATACTGTATAGACTTTGATTATAGCAATTCAATTTTTAAAGTTTCTTAGGAAGTAGCTTATTTTCTGTCTCTATAGCTCTGTTTCTTTTAATATTTTGATTAACTCTCATGAACTTCACTTACTTTAAAAGCAATTTTAAAGGACTGCATACTGAATTTTTAACAACTTTCTAAATGCCTATAGCCTGACCGGTGTTACTCAATGGTTAAGTTCAATTCCCAGTAAGAACACATGCCTGGTTGAGGGCTCAATCCCAGTAGGGCGTGTGCAGGAGAGGCAGCTGATCAATGATTGTCTCTCATCATTGCTGTTCCTATTTCTTTCCCCCTCTCCTTCTCCTTTCCTCTCTGAAATAAATACAAATGTATTTTTAAAATAAAGACAAGAATTGCCTATAAGCATTACTAATTGGCCAATTGATTTAATCAGAAGAAAGAGATTATTGAGTGGCTACATCTTATAGCTTCTGAATTAAAGAATGAAAAAAAAGGGGGGATTTAAAGCTGTGGCTGCACTATAGTAGATCTGGTTCTGCTCACCATCACAGTGCTGGTTGAAATGGAGTGTCCCTGCTTCCTACTTGTTCAATCTTGCACTTTCTGTTTAGTGATGGTAAAAGAAACGGGTGGAGGTGCATGTAAATAGCCAAAAGGTTTAGCAGAATCCTATCTGAGTCTGGCAGAAACCCGGCCCTCTCCCCATTCTGTCCACCTTCAAACTTGCCAAGCCTTGTTCGCTTTGGCTTAATTTAAAAAATGCACTTCTGGCGAGTGAGGAAAGGTTTTGTACTGTGTTTTCAATGACTCACCCAAAATAACTCCATTCAACTTGTAAAGGGTCCTGTTCTGAATGCAGATTGTGTTTGTTCTGAGATGGGCATGAAGGGGCTGCAGAAGGCAGATTAGAGAAGGGAAATGTGATGGGAGAGGCAGTGTAGTTCAGGCACACATCAGAATTATTTTTAAAAAAGACATTGTGTGTATGTCTTCAAGAACCATTTATAAGATCTACACCGTAAAGCTTTTAAAGATACATTAATAGTAGATAGATACATGGTTCATATAGTCACAAACTTCTTTTTTTCTGATCCTCCTAAAATATAGGAGATATTTACATGTAAATATATAATTCCAAAGATATGCATAGTGAAATGATAAAAATTTTAATAGTTCTAAATGGCTGCACATGGTAAGTAATCACATACATAAGAGCTAGCAATAATCTTAAATTGGGAAACAAATGTGTATCAATAATTGATCTCAGGGCAGTTTTAAAACTGAGAAATACAATATTGACATCCCCCCGTTGTGTACTGCAGAAAAATGTTTACTCTCAAGTGGCATAGATTGAGCACTTGATAGCAATAGATACACCTTAAAAGCATTTATGATTCATAATGTCAGAGATTTTTAATAGCAATATTTTAGGACAGGACTAAAAAGAAAAATAATAAAGAACTGACCTAATCTTCAGCATTAAGACTTCACAGCTGAATTAAAAATATTTTGGCTTTCCTATGTGTAACTATGTCCAGTTATAAGGATATCAAAACCTCTTTTGAGTTGTTTCATTAATTCATGAAACAGACCAAATAAAGCTTATTCTGTTATATAATCGTGCTTCATACCATTATTGATGAAGAATAGATGAGCCATTCTTACCTGTTGCTCAGAAACACGAGAGAATTGAGCCACTGAGAAGAAATCAAGCTCTCTAGAGAGTGTAAATTTCACATTATGTGGCAAATGGAAAAATTGTGACCTGGGAGTGATGAAGTGAGGGATAAAATTACAAGTTTTCAACATGCACAAAATCAGAAAGTATAAAACTTTTCCATATTATGTAAATAATGTTCAAGGTAAAGTTCCTGTGGTATTGACACCTGCTTCTCTCTTTAATACGTACTTGGGAAAATATGGGAAATTAAAATACTGTATTGTATACTATATTAATGCTCCCTTATGAAATATTTATAGGACAATGAACTAGTATCATAATCCTTGATTTTTTTGCTAAGGTGAAAGAATAAATAATAGGTGTAATTATACACCTTAAATATGTCATTTTATTACCTTCACATATATACATAAATCAGAAATACTCTAATGCAGTGGTTCTCAACCTTCCTAATGCTGCGACCCTTTAATATAGTTCCTCATGTTGTGGTGACCCCCAACCATAAAATTATTTTCATTGCTACTTCATAACTGTAATTTTGCTTCTGTTATGAATCGTAATGTAAATATCTGATATGCAGGATGTATTTTCATTATTACAAATTGAACATAATTAAAGCATAGTGATTAATCACAAAACGATATGTAAATATATATGTGTTTTCTGATGGTTTTAGGCAACCCCTGTGAAAGGGTCATTCGACCCACAAAGGGGTCGCGACCGACAGGTTGAGAACCACTACTCTAATGATTAACAATGACAATAAAATATATATATATTAAAACAATCTAAATTAGACAAACCACTTTTCCTCAGAGTTCAATAATATGAGTTGTAAATAAATCTTTAAACATTTTTGAAGTATTCATTTGCTGAGTAATGTTTTCCTTTCATTCTCTTTTATACTATGGCAAATGATTCCACTGTTACTATTGGAAATGTTAATAGTTATTTTGAGAAGCTCAAATGATTTCATGTTGAAATACATTTTAGAAATAGTGAGTTAAACAAAGGTAAGCCTTTTTTTATTTTTAAGTAAATTTTGAGGACTTATCAAGTCTTTAACATTCATTATGACTAGGTTGGGGTAAGGGACGATGAGGATATAACATGCAGTGTTTTCCAACCTTATTTCATATAGAATTTTTCTCTCATGGTAATCGTATATATAATAATCAAAGTGTAATATGCTAATTAGACTGGACAGCCAGATGTCCTTCCAGACGAAGCCGGGGCTGCAAGGGCCAAGTCCTTTGCACGAATTTCGTGCATCGAGCTTCTAGTTGAAATATAAAATGCTGCTCTCTTGGTTTAATCTGCACTCTACTTACCTAATAGCTCCCAGCTCCCTTTGTCTTAATAAAGGTTGAAAATTTAGTAAGCTGCATCATTATCACTTTCTGATCAGATTCTGAATTATTAAGATTTAGATGCATAAAAGAACATTTTTGATCTTGTAAATATTGAAGAAACAATACCATAACTAGAACCGAAATGCTTTAGTCTACCTAATAGTAAATCTTGTTTTCTAATTTTGAGATATGTGTTAAAATCTGGGAAAACAAAAAAATAACTGAAGTAATTGAACTGAGCATAATGTTGCAGTTTTGATATAAGCTTTTCTATTTATAACTGCCTAATTTAACCAAAGTATGTTTTCTGTCCTAGCCTGAATTTATGGCATTTTAAAAATTCAGCTGCATAAGCATGAAGACACATGCCATTTACTAGTATAAGAATAACTGCCCCATATGAAATTGATTTTTGCCTTCTGCAATATAATAATTCCAATAGCTATACTGAGTACCTACCGTATTCTATGTCATCCTCACATCACCTTAGATCATCATCATGATTGCTATTTCACAGATGAGGAATGTGATAACCAGAGAGGTATTAGCTGTCTTGCTCTAAGCCATACAACTAGAGAGAGACAGAAACAGATTTCAAACTTCAGTCTGACACCAAAGATCCTACTGTTTCCATTACATCATGGTGGATGGAATTATCCACATCCTATATAATAAAAGCATAGTATGCAAATTGTCCCCTCAACCAACCTGGAGTTTTTCCCAGAGTTTGGCCAGGGGGCGGGACCGGCCTGGGAAAGGGAGGGAGGGAGTACCTGGCTGGCCACAGCCAGCTGCTAGGGACCCTATCAGTGCACAAAGTTTGTGCAATAGGCCTCCAGTGTAATATAAATGTGTTTCTCCATCTTTAAGCATCAGTAGCTCAGATATTATCCTTTATGTAGAATTTCTGCAATGTGGATGTACTTTTGGTCTACAATACAGTACCTGTTTGGAAAAAAACTTTGAAGAAGCAAACAGCTAGACTCTCATGTGTGACAGAGCATTCATTATTGAATAAATAAAACACCCTGGGCATTTTTTAAAATCTCAAAGTTGAGAATATAAGGATAACCCCAGCTATTTCAAGGACTTCCCTCTCATTATTTCTGTATTTAACATTTTGCATTAAAAATCAGCATGTAGAAGAAAACAGTATTGTGCTATTGTAAACTCAACAACTGTTGTTACCCGCTGACAATTTTTCTTCCTTTATTAACTCTGGTGGTTTAGTTTTTAAATGTAAATTATGGTTCATTACTGCTTTTCTCAAGAATTCTTTATTGTCTAAAAGTGTGTTTAAACAACAATAAAACTAAGTAAAAGACAACAGGTCTTAGAGAAACAACATAAAGCAAGTATCTTATCCATTCCACCGTCCATTCTGAAGGACATAAAGTATAGAAAATTTACTTCAAAAGAACTCACTGTTCCTTGTGGGACTGGCACTGTACTAAAGTGTAAGAGGTATAGGAAGACTACTGAGAAATGCTCTTTATTCTCTCACAGTTCACAATTTACAAAGAGGCCAGTCATATTATTTACTGTACAATTTAGTCCCCACGTAAAGGATGTAGACATTATTCAGTTGCATATCAGAAAATTGTGGGAGAGATGTGACTGGGAGCAGTGGAAAGATACAGTGAAGGAAAAGTTCTGGCTCCACCAGATCTTGAAGATCATGAAGTTATTGTACAGAAAGACCAGGAATAAACTGAGAAGCAAGGATATAGAGTCAGCAACAGTCTGTGGAGATGATGGAATGGAAGCTGGGAGAAGTCGGGTAAGGTGGAGTCCACTGGGGTCCTGAATGACACTGAAGGCAGTGTACTTTATGGTCTTTTGACCAGAATCTTGGGTGCCTTCTCCCTCATTCTCTCTCCTTACCTTTCCTACAGGCAGCTAGACTCTGGCCTATGTTTGAGGGCCTTTAAACTGCTAGCTGCTTTTTGCCATAGGACTCTTGAAGGCGGAAACGTCTTTAAAATTAAAAAAAAAAAGAGTAATAGTGAAGTTTCAAACGAACAAGAGAAAATAAAAGTATCACTGTTCTAGTTCCCTGGATATTTCGTGGAATACCTAAGGCCCAGATGATAGCAGGATGGTACTGGAAAGTTAGTATGGACTTTGGATGTGATTTTATAGAGACTGTACTGGCAAACCATTAGCAAGGAGTTCGTGCCTGATTTTGAATGGGATTTTATAGTCTTCCTCGCGAGATTTTTTAAAAAAACAAAAGGGTATGCCCAAACTCATTTGGAAATTAGTTCGGAACCTTGACATCATTGGTTTCCTGTAGCATCTTGCTGCACCAACCCCGAGCACATTTCCCCGGCTAGTCCCTGCTCTATTTTTCTTTCCCTCTCCATGTCCAACCTCAGTGTGGAATTTCCAGCTTAAGTGTTCTTTGTCAGCCCACCTGCATCCCTCACACAACCTTCACCAACAACTCTCTTAAGCATGCATGCGGCCCTGCACGCGGCGTGGCCTTTTCCAGCTGGGACACGCGGACGAGACGAGGACCGCGGGCCGCGCCCCTGCCTTTCATCTTTTTGCAGAGTCGCCGGGACACAGTTCTTGGGTCTCCCCGGGGAACTTGCAGCGGGCCGAGCGGACGCCGGTTGGACGCGGTGAGCAGTCCTCTGAGCCAGACCTGGTTGCCGCCTTTTCCTGCTCTGAGTGGAGACAAAGTTGCGGGGAAGAAAACACTAACCAACAAACG